CTTGATATAAATAGGTCTTTTACTATTTTCAGATGCAGTTCCCCAAAAATTCTTCTAAGTGCAACTGCAGAACAGTTATTTTATTTTTCTTTTGGTTGCCTGGAATGATAATAGATTGTTTTTAAATATGTCATTTCTTTAAAAAGCATGATTCAATTGAAATGCTGACCTTTGGCAATAAAATTGTTTGGATTTTATTAGTATTTATTAATATCCTTATTATCAATACAGAAATTATAAGAAGGAAGGAAACTTTCAAGGATGGGAACTAAAATGTCCCCATTATGTACATAAGCATAGACACAGCAACAAATATGAGCACACAAGCATGTACATTTAATTCCAATAATTGTTTCTGGTCTCTCAACACACTAATATCACCGTATCTGCTTATTTGTGTATCTTAGAATGTCTCTTTTTCCTGATGATTCAACCCTTTACTCCACCCAAATGCACTTCACAAACATCAGCCTCCTATGTCTTGAGCCAGGGAAAGAGCTTGGAAAACTCAAAGAAATCTCATGACCTCTCTATGGACAAGCTTTTTCAGTAATAACTCAAAATAATGCTACAAGTCATTGAAGATGGCTACTTTGACTAGAGACTCAGAACCTCATGCTTAGATCTCTTGGCGCCAGGGACTGGGGCTGAATTCTAATGGTAAGTGCTTTTGAAAAGTGCATCAAGATTTAATAGGATGAATTTCCAGACTTGGTCAGAGTTTTAGCCACATCAATTCCATTAGGTTCAAAGCTCCATAAGGCCCCACCCTGTCTATATTGCTGCCCATGTTTTAATCTACACTCTTCTAAATTGTCTCTTAGGCTAGCTAACTTCTCATTCTCTTTCTGCCTATTTTTGGTTTCCATGTTGCCCTTAAGGCCTGTATATTCTCCTAACCTTAGGGGCCCAAGCTTTTATCCAGTCCTTCCTCAAGTCCTTCCTTGAGACCCATATTTTATAAGTACTTTCTTCACTGATCTCTTATCATGACTTCATTGCATCTGACGCATTTTTCAGGCAAGTCTCTACCATAGTCTGTTTGTACCATCACCAAATGCCGTATGCACACAGGCTGTTCCTGGGTCATCATCTCTAGAGCTGATAACAGCTCAGACTCTCTTTGGAAAGGTATATCTAGTTGGTGTACCTGAGCACTGAGCGAAAGCACCGAGTTTCTTCCATGTCTGGGATAACTGTGTTGTGAATATGTAAGAGAGAAGATTACACTGGAGTGGATCTCATTGGTTCTGTGACCTCTCGTTCTGTCAACCAGGTGTTGATACATGCTGCCAGATCTCTTGCTGGGCCAGTGCTATTATTTCCAAACTAGTCCTTAGTCATGGAATTGTCATGTAAAGAGGGAACAGCAGCAGATGCCAGGACAAGAGAAGGGGCAAGAATGATGGCCCAGCCTCACATTAGATGCCCCTTCTTTCAAAGTAGGTTGCTTTCTGCCTTTTAAGTATCACATTCCTGTATTAAGTCATCCAGGGAAAATGAGGATTAGGATTTCCAAATGACCGTGCAGGACAAGAGCAAAGTAAGGCACAGGTAGACTGGGTGAAACTAAGGAAATATATCTGAGGATGAATTTTCTAGTGATAGTTTACCTTTGTTTGCATTATTTGATTAATATTGTGGTTTAGAAAATGTAATCAAGTAACAATTTTTGAAGTTCATTCATTCAACAAACATTTACTGAGTATGTACTATGTGCCAGGCGTTTGCTAGGCACTTGGGATACAGAAAAGAAATGAAACATTCCTTGTCCTCAGGGAGCCCACAGTCTAATAGAAGAGACAGACACATAAATGAATAACTACAATACAATGAGAGAAGGGCCAAAGTATATAGAAGTTGCTTGGGTGAGCAAAGAGAAAGGAGCTTGTCCTTAAGCCTGGTGGCATCAGTGAAGCGTTTATGGAGAGAGTGATGACCGAGTACACTTGAAGGAGAAACAGGACTTCACCAGGAAGATTGAGGATCAGAGGGAGAGACAATCTAAGTTGAGAAGAAAGCAGGCACAAAAGCAAAGAAGTGTGACAAAGCATGACATGATGGGGAGCCACAGGTCACTCTGCATGGCTGAGATCTCATCTTCATACGACGAATTGGTGAGATATGAGGTCAGGTACGGAGTATGAAATCACAGAGTCAAGAGCACTGAATATGGGACTAAGAAATTGGACTTTTTCCTGGAAACCATGAGAAGGCATTAAAGACTCCAAGGGAGGGAGTAACATGGTCAGATCTGCCCATCAGATAAGCCTGAATGGAGGATGGTTTGAAAGAGAGGTGGGACTAGAGGGAGGGGCACCAGACAGGAGGTGGCCTAGGCCAGAGATGCTCATGGGAGCTTGGAAGGCGGTGAGGGTGAAGAGGTGACAGACTGGAGAGATACTTGACAAGATGTGATGAGGGATGAGAAAGCCTTCCTCAGTGATCAGTGCAAAGAAATAAAGGAAAACAATAGAATGGCTAAGACTAGAGATCTCTTCAAGAAAATTAGATACCAAGGGAACATTTCATGCAAAGATGGGCTCAAAAAAGGATAGAAATGGTATGGACCTAACAAAAGCAGAGGATATTAAGAAGAGGTGGCAAGAATACACAGAAGAACTGAACAAAAAAGATCTTCACGACCCAGATAATCAAAATGGTGTGATCACTCACCTAGAGCCAGACATTCTGGAATGTGAACTCAAGTGGGCCTTAGAAAGCATCACTACGAACCAAGCTGGTGGAGGTGATGGAATTTCAGTTGAGCTATTTCAAATCCTAAAAGATGATGCTGTGAAACTGCTGTACTTAATAAGCCAGCAAATTTGGAAAACTCAGCAGTGGCCACAGGACTGGGAAAGGTCAGTTTTCATTCCAATCCCTAAGAAAGGCAATGCCAAAAAAATCTTCAAACTACTGCACAATTGCACTCATCTCACATTCTAGTAAAGTAATGCTCAAAACTCTCCAAGCCAGGCTTCAGCAATATGTGAACCATGAACTTCCACATGTTCAAGCTGGTTTTAGAAAAGGCAGAGGAACCAGAGATCAAATTGCTGGATGGAAAAGCAAGAGAGTTCCAGAAAAACATCTACTTCTGCTTTATTGACTATGCCAAAGCCTTTGACTGTGTGGATCACAATAAGCTGTGGAAAATTCTGAAAGATGGGAATACCAGACCACCTGACCTGCCTCTTGAGAAATCTGTATGCAGGTCAGGAAGCAACAGTTAATGAAATTAAAAGATGCTTACTCCTTGGAAGGAAAGTTATGACCAACCTAGACAGCATATTAAAAAGCAGTGATATTACTTTGCCAACAAAGGTCCATCTAGTCAAGGCTATGGTTTTTCCAGTAGCCATGTATGGATGTGAGAGTTGGACCATAAAGAAGCTGAGTGCTGAAGAATTGATGCTTTTGAACTGTGAGGTTGGAGAAGACTCTTGAGAGTCCCTTGGACTACAAGGAGATCCAACCAGTCCATCCTAAAGGAAATCAGTCCTGAATGTTCATTGGAGAGACTGATGATGAAGCTGAAACTCCAATACTTTGGCCACCTGATGCGAAAAGCTGACTCATTCGAAAAGACCCTGATGCTGGGAAAGATTGAAGGTGGGAGGAGAGGGGGACAAAAGAGGATGAAATGGTTGGATGGTATCACCAACTCAATGGACATGAGTTTGGGTAAACTCTGGGACTTGGTGATGGACAGGGAGGCCTGGCATACTGCAGTCCATGGGGTTGCAAAGAGTCAGACACGACTGAGTGACTGAACTGAACTAACTGAACTGATGAGGGATGATGATACAAACAGCAGAACTGTCTGAGAAATGAAACAATACTCTAAACATTCATCCAGAAAATACAGCCAACAGCCCCAGTCCTCCCTCCCCTTGGGTTCCCATCATCCCACGCAATCAGAGCATCTGCTGAGCATGAATAAAGGAAGAAGAGCTGGAGGGCACATAGGGTCAGACTTCTCTAATTCAGACACCACCAACTTGGACTCTGCAACAAATCAGACAGACTGTGACTCCTAGCGAGTGAGAATTTCAACCTACTTTCTTCCTCTGTGTCTTTTCAAGCCTTTCGTCACCAGTAAAAGCAGAGGTTTCTTTCAGTCAAGTGCTTGAGGTGTAGTAGATAGCTGCTTACATGGTGGCCTCTGAGGGGCACCCAATCTCTGCCCCCCACCCAGGGGCCATAAGGCCTGGGATCCAATCACTAGCGATTCATTCCACTGGGAAAGGTTTTGGTCCCGCTGGACTTCTCTTTTATAAGGTAATGCTTCCTGAGATAGGTAAAATGGTGGGTCATTCTAAACCCAGTGGGACTTTGGCTGAGGATTATGCTTTTGGCTTTGACAGAAGGGATCAAGGTAATACAAGAGGGTTAGGTAGGCACCTGGAGAAGGTGATGCAGAAGGTAAGACTGAGGGATATGGAAGTTAATATTAAGGTCTTGCCAGGGAACAGCCCTGCAAGTGCCCAAGAAACTACAGTTCTTAAAGAATGCCTTCCACTTCTGGTTCCAGCAAATCACACTTGTACAACCTTGTACCTTAAGGAATTTCTGCATTTTATGTTTCTGATATGCTATCTGTTAGTGAAGGCCTAGGGTGACCCACTATCTTTTCATGAATCTCATCCTGCTTAAGACCAATGAAAATCTCCAATGTGATTCATTTATACGTAATATTACTACAAATATTGTCTCTGAAACTATTTTATAACTCCAACTTTTCATTCACTCTGACAGACCTTGTCTTTTATCATTCCAAATTATGGCGATTTAGTTGTATTTGCAGAGTGTAAATCAGTCAAGTCACAAGCAACAGAAGATCAAGACTCTGACCTTGAAGAGTCTCATCTACAGCTCTATAATGGTAAATAAGAGCTGCTTGGGAAGCCTTGATTATAGACATTAGAGCAATGAACTAAAAATAAATAAATAAATAAGAAGAAATGAAACAAAACAAAACTTTAAAAATTACTTACTTCACTTGTTTGAAGAATCGTGAACTTTGGCTGTTTAGTCTTTGAACTGGGTGCACTGGGCTTGCCATCCAAGAGTGATCCAAATGACAGATTCCCAAAGCTGTTGTCAAATTCAATCGAAGGTTTCAGTGTGGGAGAGATGTCCGGGGCCTGGTCCTGACCATCCATGGGTCGGACATAGGCGGTTGGTTTTTGCTGGCCCATGCTTGTTTTGCAGTAAAGCCCTGGTGGGAAGTTTTGAACCGAAAGGCCACTGCTGGGAGCTAATAGAGACGAGGCAACTAGGGGAGATCCAGGCGCTTGCACTGTAAATTCCGGTGCTTCTGGTGAGTTGGACTGATAGATTTCTTTGAAAGTATCCCCTCCACTGGACTTGAGAGTATTGTCTTCCTTTGCCAGTGGGTTTGATTCTTCAACTGCTCCAACTTGAGGCTGTTCAGCTGGGTAGACAAAGAAGTCTTCCAGTCTGGCTGGGGGCTGGTCTGGGGTCGGCGGCTGCATCTTGTTGGGCTGACTAGTGACTTGGCTGGCAGCTACAATGCTAGTGTTCTGACTATCTCGTGACCAGTCAGGTTTTGACTTTCGGTTGCTGTGTATTAGAGTTGAATTCAGTATCACGACAGAAGGTGGAGGCATTGGCGCTGAGGAGTGAGTGTTATCCTGCTGGTGCACTGGGACCATCCGATGCTTTTGTTCTGGAAAAAAGCTGGGTTCATTTTTGTTGGTGGGAGTCTGGGGCATGGAATTCTTTGGGATTCCCACTAGATGATTCTGATTAGAATGGTTAGTTAGCAAATCCTTCATTTCATCATAGTTTCCCAGCGTGTTCTGGACTCGGTTCGCAAGTGCATCACCTTTGTTTGTCTAAAATAACAAAAAGATGGGGGTGGGAGGAGAGAGAATGAATAGGTTTGTGTTTCCTACTATTAATGTTTCAAACAGATGTCCTAAGTAGACTAGCATATAGGGTTCTTTAAAATTCTCATGCTGCCATATAATTTCATACTTTTCATGTGCTATGTAAGAAAAAAAAATCAATAGCACTATTGAAAGAGCCTCTTGGAATGAACTGTGCAATGAATGTCTATATACTCCCTGGCCTGTTCTTAAATATGCTCATGGGGTGGGGGAGAGTTTTAAATTATGTTGCTTATGAATTTTATTAGCAAAATAACTTATTTTAGGTTCAATGAGTTGAACTGCTACATGCTACACTTTAACAACTTCCACTTACTGATCATTGGAATTATAATAGAATGTTCAATTTATATTTGTTCTTGACATATAACGTAGCCCTCTGTGCTACATTATACCATGAAAAACTCTTAGCCCGTTGGATAAGGAAGTCAATTAAACTGTGCTATCATGACTATGTTCAGTTTAGAAAAGACATGGGCTTAAACAATAACAAATTGAGCTAACTTATGACTAAAGCGAATCCAATTCCTTTTAATCAAAGAGTGTGTAAATTACTGGTGTCTGCCTACATATTCTGGGGACAACTATGTTTACATATTGGTGATTCATACTCATTTACTTTGAAATGGTGCAATTGTTCATCAACAGTGACTCAAGCTCGCCTGTGTTTTTTCAAAGGTTTAGAAAAATTTATTTAAGAATTTAAGCTGTTGTTTAAATTAAAACAAAGTTAAATTTTAAAGTGAGGCTGGCAACTACATCATTCTATGGACAACACCACCTATCAGAATGGTTGTGATTGTTTTTTTTAAATAATTAAGATTTCCATGAGCTTTTGTAACAGAAAAGAATAGCTTTCATAGCTAAAAAGTGGTGGAAAGCCACATACTTGGAAATGACTGTCAAAAGTTTGGCTCTTCATCTTTGAACATGACTTTCTAATATTCTCTTTGCCTGCCAAAGGTGTTATCAAAACCAGCTGCTGAAGTCAGAAAGGCAAAGGGCTTCTTTGTGCTTAGGCTGCACTACCATTGCGATGAAGGAAAGCTACTTACATCCGTGGAGCCATCTGGCAGCAGGGCCAGTGCATGGGGAAGACGCCCACCCTGGTAGCTTCCTTGTCCCAAGGGTCAGATGCATGTTCTCCATGCACAGAAGGGGGTGACCACCTCCCCATTAGTACAACCACCACTGGAGATGTTTAACATATAAGGTTGCTTAAACGCCCTTAACAGCTGGTGTGGAGCCCAGGTGTGTGCCTATTCACACCTGACATCTCAGGCTAAACCTCAGACGTAAGGCTGAGTGCTATTATCTGTAAGTGAAGATGGGAGAGTGTGTGAATAAATAAAGGGTGAAGAGTTGGAAATGAATGAAATCACCCAGGGAAAGGAAATGAGGAACGAGAAGATCAGGCTCAGGAGGGAGCCTGTGGAACATCAACCTTTAAGAGACTAGGAGAAGACCATTCCCTTCTCCAGGGAATCTTCCCGACCCAGAGATTGAGCCTGGGTCTCCTGCATTGCAGGCAGATTTCTTTACTATCTGAGCCACCATCACCAGGCTTAGGAGAAGAGGAGGAGCCAGCAAAGGATAATGAGAAAGAGAAACCAGAGAGGGAATCAAGCTGAGAACCTTGGCCTAACATTGTTAGCATAATCGCCACAGATTGTATATAGTATTCAACACAGATCACGTGGCAAATCATATAGGACACTTTCAAAGAAATGAGGGCATGTAAAGAAATATGATTTCAAAGACTAAGGAAAAGTATGCAAAATGTATACTGAGGGCTCTGATGGGAAATTTTAGAAATCAAATAAATACATGTCAGTTTCAGTTTTCTTATCCTCAAGAACATCTTATATTGCATCACATGCAACCTTGGTGCTGAAGAAGTGATTAAACAATTACAGTTCCAAATAATCTTTACCTGAATAATTGCTCAATTTTCAGAAGTGCATTTGAAAGGCATAATTTAATAAAGGGATAAATCACTTTTATTCCCTGAAAGTCCCTAAGTTTGTCAATTTTAAAGGCAGAAATTATTTTGCAGCTTAGGCAGGAATAAACACATTGTATACAGTGTTCTCCTTCAATGGAGTTGCATAACGAACCAGCTAGGCAGGAGCCAAATCCAGACTCTCTACTCAATCCCTAAATTCAGAACAAAGAGATTTCATCATTGTGAAGGCCCAGTAGAGTTTGATGCAAGTTTTTAAACTTGCAGGGTTGTTCTGGTCCCTGAAACCTCTTATATCAGATGACTGCCTAAAAAATATTAATACCTGCTATCTTCAAAGATCTGACCCAACAAGGGGAAACAATACCATTTTATTCCTCATTTTAAATGCTTCCATTTTTACTGTTTCCTTTAATGAATTAAGATAAGCTTCCTACATTAGGCAAAGAGAATTCTGTAATCTTTACCTTTTGGTCTTAGCTACCAGGAAGTTCAGTTATTGACCTCTCATTGAAAGTTCATTGAACTTTCCTTGAAAGACAGTTGTACTGGAATAAAAACTTTGCCCGCTGATGTCACAGAGAATGCCAAAGTTCTAAGAATACATTAATTCTCTCTAGGCCAACATCATCAGGACTCAAGAATCTCAAGGCCCACTGGTTTGCCAGTAAGCTAGTCACATCCCTGTTCCTATTTTAGCAGTAAATAAAAGGGACATGTTCATTTTATCTTCAGTGGAGAGATCCTGATTAGGTTTTAACATCTCTTCAGTTTATTGTTATACTGACCTGGGTTTCTGATGCACGCTTAGAACTTTTTTTTTCCATCTCCAGGTTTTAAAATATGATTGAAATTAGGAGAATTTCTCAGTTGGCCAATGTCTAAAACTGTTGTGTACATGACTAAAATTAGAAGAAAACTGAAAGTTCTCTGAATAAAATAGAAAATCCACCTCCTACTGTTCCAGGTCTACTATAGTTGTGATTTCTCTTCCAGCACAAAACTATGAGATTTTCATCAAGACTAGAGACCACCTTTTATTCCTCATACCCTCAACACTTAGCACCATGTCTGGTGCATATGAGGTCCTCAGCAAAATGCTGCTAAATTGAACAGAATCAAATAATAATTCATACCCTGTCTATATCAAAATAAAGGATTTGCAATGGCTTGGAGTCAAAGGTACATAAGTAGAAAAGCAAAAGTTAAGCTAATTTGGTTGCTGTGATTGAATATCAGATTGAGCTGCTTGGTAGCTAAAGGCCAACAGGAAATTCTCAGAGCATATAGAATTCTCTTTGTCTGATGGCAGGAAGCACATCCTAATTCATTAAATGAGACCCATGTTTGCTGGATACCAACAAGTGAAAAGGGATTCCTCTCACTGGTTTGGTTTGGTTTGGTTACAAGAACCTTTGAAAAATAAAATAGGTCTCTTTTTCAGTACCAGTTTTACAAGAGATACAAAGATGTTTCTCATGTTTTCTTATGATGGCTAAAAAGCAAGAGCACTGCACTGCTGAAGTCTAACTCAGTGCGTGTCTGCACATGGAGTTAGAGGTCAGGGTCACAGCTCCAAGTGTGGGGCTTTCCTCTGCGCTAATGGCATAAGGGATGAAGCTAGGATAACCTGGGGGAGTGGAAGGAGGTCAACTCCCTTCAACTAGCTTCCCCACACAGCAATTTCAGAGGGACTTGTGACTGGAACTGCATAGCAGATAGTTCAAGGTTGAGTTCACTGGCAACAGTTTTGAGTTGCTGATTGACGGAAGATCCGTAACAGACGTGCTGTGGCTACAAGTAGCAATTACCAGGGTCATTCTTCAGACACACACTGGTAAATTTCAAACACTCAAGAGCCAGGGTTAGGCATCAAGGACACATAGACACACAGCCTCAAGAAGTTCACCATTCAACAACCTCAAAATAATTAACAGTATAGACCAGGTGGTTACCACTGGAGGTGGGTAACTGTCAACCAGTTTTTATATTTCTCAAGATGTCAAGATGAGAACCACTGGATAGAAAATCCATTTATTTATACTTGCATGATGGATGCTCATTATACACCATAGCAACTTCTGGCTCACACTAAATCTTCTTCACTGTCCAGAGTCTTAGCAATCCTTTTAAGGAGCAAGGGATTCTTAGCAGTCCTGATTGCACATTATAAACATGGCAAAAATGGAAATTTAGCCATTTCAATCAATTATAGACTTCTTTCAATTTGGCCAATTCTTTACTTCCCGTTCTAGATAATTGACTGATACCTTAAAGGTAACCTCTGCAGCCATTATTTTCTAAGTAATCACAATTTCTCAATCATCAAGGAAATGCATTTCCAAGTATTTTCAGGCATAAGTTACATGTCTGGTTTGTGGCTCATGACTAACAGCACTCCTTCATTTAAGCTTTTTGCCTCTCATTACTTTGAGAAATGCAGTTGCCTCAGTTTGCTTCTAACGTTATCTACAAATCAGTAGTATAATTTCATTGCAAGACTAATGTGTTAGGAGCTTATGGTACCAGGGTATTTCTTTTTAATAAAAGTAGCAAAATAATTTAAGTTTGGGGGTTTATTTTTTTCTTTTATTTCATTATGGCTAATGTATGTGATTTAGTAATTCCTCTTTTTTCGAGCTCTAATATTTTTACAATTAATCTCTCTAAGCTGTGAGTTGCTATTTCTTTCTCTAATTATAATAACCATGATACTTTGAATTTGTACAGCACATTACATATCTCAAAGCAAGGCTTCCCCTGGCTGTTAGGCTTGATTCTCACAACCACCATGTGAGTCGGCAGAGCCATTCTGGTCTAATCTACCTTCTACATGCCCTGACCCAAATGACCATGGATAAGCAACTTAACGTCTCTGCATCTCACTTTCTGCATTCTTGTTGATCTGTGAAGAGCTGTAAAATGTCAGTTGCTGTTGCTATTAACAGGTATCATTTTTTCTATCAGGTATTATTATTCACTTCAGAGACAAGGAAACTTTAGGTCAGAGAAATAAAGTTTCTTCCCCAAAGTCACACAAGGTAAGCTTATCGGGTCTTCTGACTTCCTGTCAGAGGGTAAACAGCTTCCTGTTACAGATAAAGAAGCACACTTATGGGGATATGAAGCTGCAGAGAAGCCACCTCACTTCCTGAGCTTTGAATTCCTCATGGGAAATATGAGGAAAATGTGTAGCCAGTTGCTGCAGGGACTAAAGAAGCATCTGTAGAAAGTTCTAGCACAGAGGAGGTACCTGGTACATGCCAGTTCCTCATCCTTCCTCATCTTTCCACACTAATCTACACATGTCAAATGGCTTCATATTTCTCAAGCACTTTTGACCACATCCTTTTCTGCAGCACAGTACAAACTCAGACTTGAAAGTTACTAATATAAATGACAAAAGCAGCCACAAAGGGATGTTACCCACCATCAGCCCAATTGAGGGGTGGTAAGCATTCTTTCCACTCTGGGAGTAATAGAAGTGAAGCCAAGCAAGGACAGCAGTCCTAGGGACAGGTGCTCATTGGATAGTTTATGAACTACCAATGCCATCAGATAAGCAATCAGGTCATGCTTAAGATTTAGAGTAGCAAGAAGTTTCCTGAAATTCCTGATGAACCACCAGGAATTTTGATTTTTAATTTTGTAAACATTCCTGCCACAACCCTCAGCAAGAGTTGTGTAGGAAAGTCCTCATTTTTACAGTGGATGTGGGCCAGCTCTAGAACTCCCACTGCCATCAGCATGTCCAGATACTTAAGGGTGTTCACACCAGTTGGGTCTAGGGAGCTCTTGGAGGTGTACCTCACTTCTAGTATCATGGTATGGGGGAAAGGAGAAGCATACTGCCCAGTGATCTCCCAGGGAACCCTGACCATGTACACAGCATAAGAGGGCAGTCAGTCATCAAAGCAACAGTAAAAGAAAGAGAATGACTAGGTCATCAACTGTCAGCATTATTCCTTTCCTTCATAGTCTCGACTTCAAAGCAAAGGCTCTTCCCCATCAAGAAGCCTAAAAGCACCAGGATACTAATCACAGAGCAGGCCTGGCCCAGCCCTAGACTAATGCTCCCATCTGTGTCTCTACCTGACAGACCTTTGTTGTATCAAGACAGATGGCTTTTGGAAACTTCTGACAATGTTGATAACAGGTTCTTTAACTGCCTACTCAAAATTACACTATTTGCATCTAAAAATAAGTATGCATCTACATTACAGGCTTATTAACAAGAGATGGTGTTTCCCTTAAAGGTACAAGGACATTAAGTCAACAAGACTTTAAATTATAAAGGGGGAAATAATTCAATTGCTCTACACCTCATAATAGTGTCAAGTATGGAGTAGATACTGAATTTGAAGAATGAGCCCTTGACTAAAGCCCATTTTTCTAACCCATCCAAAGATAAGAGGTGAAACTCAGCTGGCCATTCCTCTTTCTCAAGGATGGATGAGGTTGGGAATTCCCTGGTGTCCAGTGGTTAAGACTCTGAACTTCCACTGCAGGGAGCATGAGTTTGATCCCTGGTCACGGAATTAAGTTCTTGCATGCCGCATGGTGTGGCAAAAACAAACAACAACAACAAAAAAACACTAAAGAAGGGAGGAGGGATCTGTCATCCTTTGACCTCACTTCCATTGTCTGAGAAAAAAGGAGGCCACAACTTCTTGTCTTCCATACTCCTTCTTTATTCTCATCTTAATATTCTGTTCCCACTTTCCTACCCAAGGCTCATGACTCAACACATGTTCTCAATTTTGTATTTACTCATCTGCCCTGGGACCTTGCTCTGCTCATCAGCACCTCTCCCTCCTGTGTCTTCACCCTTTAGTTTCCCTTCCCTCCAATCCACCACTCCCCACACTTCCAACATCATCTTTACAAGTCTTCATCTGTCTTGGCCACTTCCTGACTTTAAAATTGGCAATGGCTTCTCTTCGTGTACAGACTCATGTCCAGACACCTAGGTATTCAAAGTCTTCAGGCATCTATTCCCCTGCCTATCTCATCAGCAGTTACCATGCAGTCATGCCCTCACTCATTCGTGATGATCTCTGCACTGGACAAGGAATTCCTTGAATGCAGGAACTAGATCTTATTTCCCTTTGGACACTAGCCTAAGACATAGCTGACACTCAATGGGCCTTCAATAAATGCTTGTCAAACTAACCGTATCTCACCATGCACACATTCAACAGCAGTACAGAAATTAAACCAATTGAAATAGGAAAAATGGATTATTAAAGATTACACTACTATTGACAAATTGAAAACTACTAGTCTCTTTGTCAGACTTACCAAATTTGGAAAGCACCTGAGTGTCTCAATCAAGAGCTTCTTGCTTAGTCTGAACAAGGCAGCAAAGACTCTGTCTCACTAGGCACCGATCCAGACAGCTCACTGTCTACATCAGTCAGTATCCCCTAAATGGTGCTCTTCTAATATTACAACTCTTGATCATTTTCTCTATGGTTGTTTTACCTCTTACACCATTTTTGTTTCACTGAAGAAAATTACACTGCTACTAAATTTCAATAAAAACCAATCAGCTACCAGCAACTCAACAGGATTCTTCTCCCAATCTCCACTCCAAATAGAAAGTTCAGAGGCAGTCATTGTGAAATCAACACTTGAAGATGTAGAAGTATGATCTTTATTGGAGCTACACACTAGCCAGAAGTCCACTAGAAAATCAACCAAGCTACACTACCCCCTGTGGTTGAGGCAATCACCTAACCCATGATTATTAATCACCAGCAAAAAATGACTGGCTTTTTCCCTTTGTCCTAGAACAGTGATTTTCAAAGAGCTCTCAAACCACTGAACAGCTGCTAACAACCTGAAATGGAAACAATAAGCAGTGGTTTTGCGATGGATGGCACCAATCGGGAGGAGACACAACCATCTCCACTGACTTTCTGATGAAGTCTTCAGGGGCTGCCTCGCTGATGATAATCAAAGTGAGATCAAGCATCAGGGGGCATTCCTTGCTAGAGGTAGTGCTGGGCAGGAAAGAATTCCTTGGAGACAGGTAGTCTCATAAGTCCCTTTCAAATCTTACTATGTTCCCCCAAGAAGATGGGATTTGTCTCTGAAGACTTCCTCAGAAACTTGTCATGGCCCCAAATACAGCACAGGTATATATTTCATTTGTAAAATAGATTCTCTTGGAAATGATTTGGGTGTTTTAAAAATAGGTTAAGTGTTGATTAGTGCATTCAAAAATATAACAAGTGACCATTTTGCAGAAAGATACATTACATACATATTCAGCTACCTTGTATGGCTCCCCAAAAAGATCAAAGCCTGAAGAAAAGAGATCATCTTCTTGCTGGACTTCTTGATTCCTCCGCTCCCATTCCCTTTTCTTAAGTGCACTACGGTCTTGTTCATAGTGACTGATGTGCAAAGAAAAAGACAAAAGGAGAGAAAGATGAATTAGTCATGGAAGCCATGTTATCAATAAGAAGAAAAAAACCAAGTTGAGGCTACCCAAACTGATACTGAATAGAGAGCCGACCTCCTTTTCTTTATTCCCAATAGGTTAAAGATCCTGACCAGTTCTTCAGAATCCAAAAGGAAACAGAAATTGGCTTACGAGACATTGTAGTCACGACCATTTAAGTACGGCATAATCCTCTTCCCTTGTCCTGGCTTAACTACTACAAGCAATTACTACAGCCTACCTCAAAGTCAGTCCACCGTGCAAAAGAGTACTGAATTCAGGTTTCACTGTGTTGCCAACTATCCAGGGCCCAGAATTCACAGATGTCACTAAGTCCAAAGGGAAAGGAATTATCAAATATATTATTGCAGGTAAATGGGAATTCTGTCCTGAGCCCACAGCCAGTATTAGTCTGTTGTAATGAAGTCAAAAGAGAAGGACTTCCCTGACAGTCCAGTGGTTAGGACTCCCAGCTTCCATCACAGAGGGCACAGGTTCCAGACCTGGTCAGAGAATTAAGAATGCCACATGCCATGTGGCATGGTCAAAAGAAAAAATCAAAGGAGAGTTTAAGAACATCTTTGAAAGTCCACAAAAAACCAAATCACCCAGTCAATCACACTCTTTTTTGTGTTGTTGTTGTTCTTCCCACAGTTTGCATCATAGGTGACTAGAAGTCTTTTAGGGGGTCTGGGTTGATCAACAAACTCCCATTAATGAAAAGAGGTGCCAAAAGATTTAAATGACCTTAAGGCACAAATGTTTTATGAACACCATGTTACTCTGACTCTCATCACATTTCAGGCTTTCCCTTTGGAGGATCAGTACTCTATCAAAGATACATTCTGGGTCCTTCGATTTTATAGAATGGAATACTTCCTCAATAAAAACACAATTATTTTTTCCATCATACAAGACTATGTGTATTAAACTAAAATCTGTAAGTCTCCCACTAGTGGGCTTTATTTTGTTCATTGGGTTTTTCTTCCTGCTTTTGATTATAATCCTACTCAAAGTGAGCACACATACGCTGGGAAAATTTTAATTATATACATGTACATAAAGTGCCTAGCAGGTACTGAATAAATGTTGCTTTCCTCGCTCATGTTAATACAGGTACCCCCTGCTTTCCAAACGTTTGCCTTAAGCCACTTTTACGAGAGACCTATGTTAGTATCTATTTGCACTAACCAAAAGCAATCCAAAGGGAATTTTTGCTTTTACGAAAAACATCATTCCCTTACTAATGTAGGTCTTTCATAAAAGCAAAGTGGCATAATGAGAACTTTCAGAAAGTGGGGGATACTCTTCACTTTTACACCATTTTGCTTATTGAAGTTTTTATAGTAACACTCTACTTTCAGCTACCAGATGAAGCCTGTAATGTCATGTGAAGACTTAATTAGGTAATTAGCATGCAAGAGAATATAGTAGCTAAAGGAACTACAAGAGATATACTGATATAATATATAAGTACAGTCAACAGGTTTTGAATACATTTCAAACTTAATACCTATCACTGGTAGCCTACTTTGCCCATGCTGCTGCTGCTGCTAAGTCTCTTCAGTCGTGTCCAACTCTGTGCGACCCCATAGACAGCAGCCCACCAGGCTCCGCCGTCCCTGCAATTCTCCAGGCAAGAACACTGGAGTGGGTTGCCATTTCCTTCTCCAATGCATGAAAGTGAAAAGTGAAAGTGAAGTCACTCAGTCGTGTTCAACTCTTCACGACTCCTTGGACTGCAGCCTACCAGGCTTCTCCGTCCATGGGATTTTCCAGGCAAGAGTACTGGAGTGGGTTGCCATTGCCTTCTCCACTTTTCCCATGAGTATTACATAATGCTAACTTATAAAATAAGAACCCAGAGTATGTGATAGCCATGGAAGCTTAACTAGATATTGATATAGATGGAGTGGAAGCGGCCAATACACTTAACCATCCACCTTTCTCCACAGGAATACTTGAACTGACAAACTCTAAGTGACTTTGACAGCTTTATCTCCTGGATAAACAACACTTCATTTCCCCATTTTAAAATCATGGCAATATTTATAGGATGTTTGGGCTCAGTGATAAAGAAGCTGCCTGCCAATACAGGAGATGCAGGTTCAATCCCTGCGTCAGGAAAATGCCCTGGAGAAGGAAATGGCAACCCACTCTAGTATTCTTGCCTGGGAAATCCTATGGACAGAGGAGCCTGGTGGGCTATAGTCCATGGAGTCGCAAAAGAGTCAGACATGGTTGAACAACAACATCAGCTATCCTTTCATAATGCAAAAATGCCAGGTACAGAAGAGCTCCCTGGATCCCTCATGAGTATGCCCAACAAATGTTATCACTGCCTCAGAAAATCAAAGATCATCCAGAGGTCCACCCAAAGCCTAGGCCCCACATCTGAGCCCTGCCTGCTCAAGAAAGACACTGAGTCCAGGTACTGGAAGCCAGCCCATCCTTCACAGTCCTAGATGCCATCCACAGATACTACGTTTGTTGGTGTCACCTGACGTTTCTATTCACCAGTTGAGATCAGAACCCCAAACCTCTGCCATGTGACACAGTGTCTTCGCATTGGATGCTGATGTGTGGACAACAGTAACATTTTGGGTGCATGAAGGGTGGAGCACAAGACTCAGCATCACATACTGGCCACGTGAAATTTGCCCAAACCAAACAATGATGGGGTGCCCAGGGTGGGATGGGACACAAATTAAAGCAATATTTAGTGGGAGTGGGAGGTTGGGAGGAAGGTTTGCTGCAGAGAAGAAAGACACTTCATTTCTTTGCCCTCAGCAGCCATGACCCTTCACACAAACACGAGCACCAAAGCATCATGCTTCCAAGGAACATGAGCAAGATGTCGGTTTTCCAGCTCTCTGTTCATTCTCTGCACCTGACAGCCCAGAATGACAGGCCCGGGGATCGCCTTTCATTCTCCCACAAGGAGCACGGAAGGACTTCGGTCTCTTGGCTTTGCAAACTATCTCTCTCCGGCTCTGAGGACCAAGATAATTAAAATCCCGAAGGAAAGGACAAGAAGAAAGGACATGTGCTTCAACATGCATGACAACCCTTTCAGCGGCCGGCACTCGGGGCACTTGGTACTTTCAACCCAGGCTGGATGCGTTAGGAGGCTCTCGGCTGCATTTTGCATCAGTTCATTAAGCTACCAGATTCCAGACGAGAAATCTGAATAGCAGATTGAGCGTGCACATGGGTGTTATCTGTGGCGAGCAAACTGCCTGCTGCATTTTTTAACACATACAACAAAGAACAGTTAATTCTCATATCTCTGGCAAGAGTGAATTTCATCTCCATAGAGTTCCACTGCTCCTGGAAGGCAACCAACTCTCTCCAATTTTTTCCTTTCTCACTCAGCACGGCGTTGTACTAAAAGCTTCACCCGGCGAGGTATAATGAGGAATGAACTATATGGTGATGAGGCTTTCACAGTGCAGAACGTCACTGATTTCTGACTGAAACCAAAATGACTAATTTGAAGCACCAGCTAATTAAAACCCCAGCTATGTATTTAGCCTCTTGTTGCACCTACTGCAGTTTATAATCACGAGGACCTCCTTATCTACTCAATTAAAGTTCTTCGGATTCTGGGAAGTTGTGTTTGAACCTGTGAGCCCCACAGAGACCACAGGAAAGCTGATGTCTGTCCCTTGAGGATCTGATGCTCTGTTACACACCTAGGCTTATCTTCCCATGAAAAAAAAGGGAGGGGGGCATTGTTCCATGGCCCACGAAGACATGCTCAAGCCAGAAATCAGAATTCATCCCCATGTTACTGGTGTGAACAATTCAACTTTCCTCACACTGATGAAGACAGAGCAAATGAGTCCTCTCAGTGTGAAAACTCACTTTCACATTAGGGAGTTGGGCCCCAAAACACAACCTGAGGCCTCTACACTCTTAGCAAGGAGGAATGTTCTTCCAACTGTTTCCTACAGGATAGAAGGGAATTTGGCACATTATGGTGACACTGAACACTCAAAATCCAGGGGAAGGGCCAAATCAGGGAATGGGACCAAGAGATACAAACTACTATATGTAAAATAGACAAGCTAAAAGGATCTTTTATAGAGCACAGAGACTATAGCCAATATTTGATAATAACTCTAAATGGAGTATAATCTATAAAATGTTGAGCCTGTCATGTTTGACACCTGAAACAAATATAGTACTGTAAATCAACTATATCTCAATTTAAACATGCATTAAAAAAAGCCACCTCAATTTACTCTTCATTGGCCAAAGGCCTTGGTTTTCTCCCTGTATAGCCTATCTTTTTGGAGTCCCTGCTTTACTGACATCTCTACTAGCTGACAGAGAAAGGACAGAAAAAAGAACAAGCTCCATTCAACTAAATACATTTAAGTCACCAAGACCTTGAACTACACCAGTTGGAGCTGCATGGGTCCAGTTACATGCAGATTTTTTCAATAGTAAATAGTAAGGTACCACACAACCCACAGGTGGTTGAACCCAAGGTTGGCTGAATCCACCAATGCAGAATCACAAACAGAAAGGGACTGCAGATACAAAGGGTTGGTGCCCCTTAGCCCGCCTTGTTCAAAGGCCAACTGCACTCTGTTACTCTTTCCAATACAGGGCAGTGATGAGAAGTTACTCTCTAGAATGGATCTTTTATATTAGCTCCAGTTTCACCCACCCATTGGTCTCCCTGGCCTCCAATTACAGAGAACCTGCCCTCCTAACACAAGAGGGATATGTGACCCTCTGGAGAGGAACAGAGCAGCCCAAGGCCTCATCAGGGGAGTGGCAAAGGAAGATGCCAATCTGTGTCTCTTCCATCTTTAAGTTCAAGTGATTTCTTCTCCTTCTCTCAGATATTCTCCTATCCTCATCCTTAAACCAGATCTTGGACTCAGGCAATTCCTACTTTCATCATTAGAAGCCATGGGCGCATTTGTGGGGAGATAAGACCTAGGACACATGTAAATAGCTTCACTGAGATGGAGGAAGTTCAATTCTACTGTCTTCATTAGCTCATAGTGGTAGGACACCTGGGCTGACAATGCAGACTCGGCTGTCACCATCATCTTGTTCTTGTCCCTTCATTTTCCAGATGAGGAAATTGTGCTCAGAAAGGCAATGGGCCTCACAGGATGTCTGTAGCAGAACTGGGAGGTAGAACTCAGGTTTTCTGATTCCCAAACTA